GCCCACAGCAACAAGTCTGGGTTTAATCGTACCTTCACGACAAGCACCATTTTGTACGATTTCAGCCGGGATTGTGTCTTGAGTGGCTATGAGATGTTGCTGCTTCATGGCTATCCCCGGGACTTTGTGATTCCTCCGGAGATCCCAGAGCCGGAGGTGCGCAAGGTAGCAGGGGATGGAATGTCAATCCCTTCGCTTTCCGCTGTCATTTGGTGCTTGTACTTGACACGCCAGTTCCCGGAGTGATGGAATTGCTGTTCAAATGATTCGAAGGTTGAGTGCTCAGGGCTGCAGGGCGAATATAATGCGGCCATGGCGCAGCCTGATATGATTTTTTCCGCGGACCAAGTTGGTGGCCTTCGTAGAAATGCACGTGTCTCAGCAGGATGTATGACACGGAGTTTTTTGGGTTGGAACTCCTGAGATGATCGTCGGAGTCAGGAAGGTTGTGTTTTGTACAGTATTGTCCAAAGAAATACTAAGTAATACAGTTTTAGCATAAAGTCCGAGGTGTACTTGAGCCGCAGGAGCTTCAGAGATCTGTCCCGACTTTCTGGTCTCAGCCCTGGCAGGGATGTGTGGAGATTTCTATAGATGGGAGAAGTCCATGGGGCCCCTGTGATTTCACGCAATGCAGAGTCTTGTTACTGTCATTTGCTGTACTCTTGCTGGAATCTGTTATAAAGTGTAAAGGCTTAGCCTTGGAGTGCAGAATTACGAAATTACATTACATTAGACGTAGGAGATGGAATAATACAGTTTCACAGGGCTCTGCAAGTTTCACATCGTAAATTCGTGGCCGGAAGCAGTCCTAGAGCTGTGCGTCGAGATATTGCTGAGAATACTTTTGGCTCCTGTTGGTCAGTGCTAAACTTATTTCAGACGTGCGCACAGGTAGAAGATTGCTAATGCCGCTAAGATCCTGAGGCGTTTCTTAGTATTTTAGTGCTCTTGTCACAGTCATTTATCTGTACTGCAATGACTGATATCGTTCTCGGTTTCATCCTTGTAATTTACTAGGAGCTATAGGTCTGTTCAGGATACAAAAAGTTTTGTGGAGCATGTGTGGAGCCCAGCCGGATTGCACGGTCGCTCGAGATGCAAGTCCAGACAGCAGACTCACCAGACCTTGTTAGGAGTCTGCGTGTGCCGTACAGTATCCTAGATCCTAGCTGGTCCTAGCTCCCAGCTGCCTTAGCTACACGCTTTCGTTGCAGTGGACAGATAGAGCAGAGAAGGCGGTGTTGAAAGAGCACTCACTGTTGCTGCTTTTTGCAGAGCAGCTAGTTTCTAAATGGATTCGTGCAGCCTGGACCATCACTTGGCAGTCACAGTCGCAGCTTCTCAAACATTTTTTGTGTTTGCTCTGGTGCTGCAGGCTTCAGCTGTTCGGGCAGTGAGTTCGTGCCAACGTTTGCAGTCTCGTCTTGTAGGGTTGTAGGGTGCTAGGGCCTGCTAGGACGTGTTGTGTTTCTTCTTTACCGGGCCCAGCAGCTTCATCATGCGGGCTGGCGGCAGTGCCGCTGGATCCAAGCGTGGGAAGGAGTGCTGCAGCTGTGTGTTGGCAGTGTCGCAAAACTAATTAGTTTTGATACTTGGCAGGTGCGTAGCCGCACCCACATCTGTGCTTGGGCTTGTAGAGAAAAAAACCTTTTGACGAGTGACGAGTGACGAGTCATGTAGTTGGCAGGACAAGGGGCTGAAACGCCAGGATGATGATGGTGACGAGTACGACCGCAACAGTGACAAAGGAAGCAGAGCCTCCAAGAAGAGCAGGCAGAGTCAGCCAGCGCTCGGCCGTTCTTTTGTGAAGAGGTGCTACATGTGTGGCTGCACTGCCGACGACACTCAATCGCTTGGGAAACCTGTGTATGTTGTAGACCGTGGAAATCTATAGCCTGTAGTATTGTAGCTCATGTGCAACACTGGCCTATGTATTATTCCATGGTAACGATTCCGGCCCGGTTGCTGCAATATTGTCTCACCTCATTACTGTTACTCGTATCGTGCGACGGAGTAGCTAAGGAGAGGACTTTCATGAGCCAAGATTCCACAGGAATGCCTGTTGATGACGGGTGTTACAACTGTGGCGGCACGTGGAGCGACACCAACCCGGGCCAGCCGTGGAGTGCTGGCAAGGAGAAGTGGACAGCTTAGTCAGTCATCTTTGTTTTCAGCGTGAGACAGCTGTGTGTGTGTGTGTCAGTCTGTGCAGCTGAAAAGTTTTAGAGTTTTAGTCTTCTGTTCCATACTTTGGGTTTCTGACTGAGACGATAATTACACGGTCATGTGGGGCCAATGTGGGGAAACCAGAAACGGTGAGGTTCGACAGAGAGCCAAAGTGGCGGCCCAAGTTCCACAAGGCGGCGAGGATCCGGTCCGGGGAGATCGACCCCCCCATCTTCGAGACGTCCAGCAATGTGCTGGACTGGGAGAGCGTGGAAATGGAGATCACGCAGGAGTTGGGGCTCTTGTCGGAAAGTGAGTTCGAGTCCCTTGCGGGTTTCTCTGGAGCAGCGCTCAAGGCAGAGATGGAGAAGGTGCCGAGCCACCTCGGCATCGACAAAAGCTTTTTCATCATCACCTTGGATGGCCTTCCCTGCACCACCACCAACGGAATGAGGAAGCTTAAGTGCAAGTACAGATTCGGCCTGACAAGGGAGGACATGCTTTTGTCAGCGGCTCGACAACTTGTAGAAGGGCAAGGCAAAGCGGTTTTCAGCTACCACAGCGCGCAGCAGCTCCAGCAGAGACCCAAGGGACTTCAGGCCGAAGAGCAGTTCAAGAATCTCAGCTCTTTGGAGAAGCTGAAAGAGAAAGTGCAGAAGGCCATGGCCAAGAGCGGTGCAGGGCCAGTGAAGCCCAAGGGTGCGAGCAGTTCTGACGGTGAAGGTGACGAGGACGGTCCCAAAGAAAAGAAGTTGAGGGTTCAGCAGTCGGGGCGACTGCAGAGGCTTGTCCAGCCGAAGAGGAAAAGCAAGAGCCAGAAAGCCGAAGTGCCCGAAGTTGCCACGGTTGAGAATGGTGCGGAGCAGGTGCCGAAGGCTTTGGAGAGCGTAGTCTCGGTGCGTGGGGCCACGCCCAAATGCTTTCTGAACCTGCACATTGAGCGCATATTGGCCGGTGAAAAACTAATGCGCAGCGTCGATGCTGTGCAGTACTCAGAACTCCAATTGTGTCGTCATGCACGCCTAATGACTCATTACTAATGCTACAAAAAACACGGGCTGCCTGTTGCTATCTACCATCGAGCCTTTTGCTTGGTGATGTGGCTCAGTGTTGCCGACTCAACCGTAACAATCATCATTGCAAGTTATGAGCTGTTTCATCCTGACAGCAGTTATGTGCTTTTGATGCCCTTGAGGACTCATGGGCAAAGTCTCAGAATCTCCATTGTGGTTCTCTGGGATCATGGAGCTGAATAACTCAGTGTCGTGCAACAACAACATCAACGCATGCCATAGTCACCATAGTCATAGTTTTCTCTCCAAGGCAAAGAGG